GAGTCTGCCTTACTGGAAAGCGAGTTTTATTTTAAGAGGTGAATTACTGAGATGATGGAAAGAGCCCAGGTGGAAAAACTCAAGGCTGTAGTACCCTTTGATTTCTTTCCTCTCCTCTGCTGAGGACTAACAGCTGAACACCTGGAATTCTCCAGCTTTGGTCTGTCCTGCTGTTTGTGTTTTGGGCTCAGGTCTCCATTTCTTTCCTTTGGACAGAATCCTGTGGGTGAATTCCTTACGCCCAGACACGAGGGACTGGTAGTGCCGGTGCGGCGTCGCGCATATGAGTTGTAGCATCGAGCGTTGTTTGTGCCACGGCGCTTTGCCCCGACCCGCAGCACGCCTGCTACCCCAGCCTGCAGCAAAACTCTGGTGCTGTGCTTGAACCCAGCCTAAGTCGGGCTCAGCAGGAGCCACCCCTGTGGGAGAGGCTGGACTGAGGCTGTACAGAGGGTCGGAGTGCGCCAGCCGCCTCCTGCCTCGGCCGCTGTGCTGGGAGTTGACCCCGTCAGCGCTCTGCAGCTTCCAGGTCCGGGCCTGGGTGGGAGCAGAGAAGCAGCTGGAGGGAGGGAGGAGCAGCTGGGGGAGGGCCGGGAGGTTGGGCAGGTTGGGCACGAGAAACTCGCTTGGCTGCCTCTAATTAATACAAAACTGCAGGAGTGGAGACCAGACCTTAGCAAGGACGTTTTTACAACAGTTTCTCAACCGAGAGCTGAATTAACTTACATTTTTCATGACTAAATGGATATATAACGTGCGTAACGACAAATTTGTAAATTATTGTGAAAATTACCATTAAAAGCTCGCGAAACATGAAAAGAGCGTTTGACCCTTTCTATATAACAGCTGCCCTCTGCTCTCCGATGATGTGCGTGTGGATGTCTGCTCTTACCACTTTGGGTTGCCTCTGCAAGCAGCTTCCCAGCACTGAGCTGCCTTCAGCTAAATGGGATTTAAAAACCTCAGCAGCAGTTTTAAAGATCTTTTCTGAGCGGTGAACTTGGGGTTTGCCTGCCTGCGTCACTTATGTATTTATGATCCTGTGTGTGAACCAGTGCGGGGAGAATTCAGAAAGGGAGTTTCCCTCGGAGGTAAATACAGCTGCCTTGGGGGAAGTCAACTTGTTTTAATTGTTCATCCGAGGAGTTCTTGTGTCCTCATCTTCTCCACATGTGTCATCTTGGGGACCTGGGACAGCATCTTCCAGAGGGCTGCATGGGATGTGCCTCCAGAGCCAGAAAAAAGGTCTAACAGCAAGTAGAAATTATTTGTCTCCGGCTTCTGCCTGGGTTAGCCGGTGGCATCGGAGGGCTGAGGTGGTGACTAGCTGGTGCCTGTGGCCTTTGGCTGGACGAGCTGGTCACTGTGGTGCCTCCAGATTAAATGAGGGTTGGCAGCTAGACAGCGCCGCGTCCAGCCGCTGGCCTCGCGGAACACAGCCGGGCTCCCTCCCAGCTCTCTCCTTGCCAAGGGGATGGAAATGTGATAAATTCAAGGGGGCTCCAGATTTAGGCGACGCTTCTCTGCCAGGAAAAGCGATTTTTCGCCCGCAGCCGGAGGGTGGCAGTGCTGCAGAGAAGCCGCTCTCCACCCTGAAGGCTCCTGCTGAGGAACTCGGCTCCTCTGCGGGGACCTGCACCTTGTGTGTCTGGGAGCCCCTCGGGGAGGTCGCTGCCGGCTCCTTCTTCCTCTGATTCTCTTCTTGGGTTTTGTTTTTGTAATTAAGGAGCAGTCCTTATCTACCGGCGAGCAGGATCAGCTCTGCCCTGCCGCCAGGCTAGCGGAGACGTGCCTGAGTGGAGTGCTGGAAGGGGGATCAGTAACCAAGACAGGGTTATCCTCTTCCAAAGCTGAGACTAGAGCCTGTAGAACCAACTGGAAACAACATACCTGCAATCTCCCCTATTAAACTGTCTCCTTCTGTGAGCTGGTGGAACATCTCACTATAAAATAAGCTATAAAGCAAAAATGACAGCCAGGCTAATTAACGGGGAAGGGATGAAAAAACAGAACAGGAAAAAGGGAGGTGGTGAAAGGAGACACCTTGATTTCGTAAAGAAAATCACCTTCCTTGTCACTTGTGCAGCTCTTCAGTGTCTGACGTGCCCCTGCAGGAAGGTAAATGCTCGTTTCTGATACTCCTGTAGTCTGTGACGGTTGTCAGTGAGTTTATTTGACTTTCTCACTAGTAAAATCTCCTTCCTTCATCATCCCATTTCTTTGTTCTAACAGAGTCACAGGCTGAGGTCGAGCTTTTCTAAAACACATTTAAGCTTGTGAAGTGTCTTTTTCTCCTTCTTTGCCTGAAGAAGATCTTTTTTTTTTTTCTCTGATCATCCCCTCCGCAGGGACATCCTGCCTGTCTGCCTGGTGTTTCACACGCTGGTGCTAAGGCAGCGCTCCACATCTCATGTGAAAACTTACTTTTCAATTTCTGTGTGATAAGATACAGCCCGGTTTTACAACCGTGCTGTCCTATCTGGGGCTGATATCTCTCACTGCATCCGAGTGTTTTTCTCAGTGTTGCATTTTAACGGTTTTCTCTTCCTCAGACGGGCGGTTGTAGGACTTCCTTGGATTTTTTTCCTTCGTCTGCAGTTCACCGTTTCCTCTTCTTCCTTTTCACATGTCCTCATTGCTGAGATGTAGTTCCTGTGTTTTCTGATAGCGTTTTGCACCATTTCCTGGGAACTGCCTCCCCTCTGCAACGCTGCTTTCACCACAGGATGTTTCCTAGTCCGGGTGTCTCGCGTGGTCGGTGGCCTGGTTACCTCAGGAGGTTCTGCTGTCCCCTCGGTCGAGTAGTTTTTTCAGTGGTCTTGGTGTAGGAATATCCATCTCTAGGTGTAGCTGTACCTTCAGCTGTTTATTGGGGTAAAATAATGTTAACAGCACAAAGCAGCTTGTTGCTTGGCTTGTTTTGGCATGAAACCCAGGTAGCAGATAAATGGAAGCAGCAAGGGGAGAGAGGGAGCAAGAAATCTCAGTTGGAACAGCTGCAGCTACAAGAGGATGACTGTAAATTTTGGTCTGATTTTTTTTTTTCTTGTTGCATTTGGTTAGAATCAGTTATATTTAATTTAGTCTTTGCTCCTCATTGCTGGACGACAATAAATCTTTCCAGAAGGAGAAAGCGACCTTCATGCCATGGCTGCTTCTTGGGTGGGTCTTCAGCTCCCTGGTGTCTTTATTTAGAGGAGTTATTAAAAGGATGTCAGTCTGCTCCTGGGATGTTCTTTGGAAGTTCAGTCGGAAGGATTTTCTTTTGAAAGCAGCACTGCTTTACAGATCCTTTGTTATCAAGAAAAAGGACCTTGAGTTGATGTTTCTTCGGCCTCTGTAGTTACAGTGGAAAAACGGGCTTTGGGGGATTGGTGTCATAGCGGTGTAAAACAAGATTCTTATGGGTTCCTTCAAAGCCCACCACCACGAGGGGAGCCCTGTGGTATCTCTGTTAATCCTTGGGCAGGAGCTGGTGTCTGTTCAGCACTTTGCTGTTCTAGGTAAGCTGTGAAGAGCTGCTAGACTGTGACAGCGAGGCAGTGCTACCCCCTCGCCGCTTCTAAATGCCCTTGTTTCTGTTGGTGAACCAGAATATTTACAGATGGAGACTGGTAGTTTTAAATGCCAGATTTAATTAAGCTACAAAGAAGTTTTTCTTCCAGGTTGTGGATTTCCATTGGTGCTTCCATGGTGAACAGCTGCCATCACCTAAGGAAGGATGTCTGGAAGTCACTCGAGGCTGGGGCAGGGTCTGGAGCACAGGTCTGCTGGGGAGCGGCTGGGGGAACTGGGGGGGTTCAGTCTGGAGAAGAGGAGGCTGAGGGGAGACCTCCTGGCCCTCGGCAACTCCCTGCCAGGAGGGGGCAGAGAGGGGGGATGAGTCTCTGGAGCCAAGGCCCCAGCGCCAGGCCCCGAGGGAATGGCCTCAAGCTGCCCAGGGCAGGGTCAGGCTGGCTCTGAGGAAGGATTTCTGTGCAGAAGGGGCTGTTGGGCGTTGGAATGGGCTGCCCAGGGCAGGGGGGAGTCCCCGGGATCCCTGGGGGGGTTGAAGAGTCGGGCTGAGCCAGCACTGAGGGATCTGGGGGAGCTGGGAACGGTCAGGGTGAGGGTCATGGTTGGGCTGGAGGAGCTGCAAGGGTTTTTCCAACTGAGATGATTCTGGGATTCTGTGAAAAGCCTTTCAGCTCCTCAAACCAGGCTTCTCCGAGCTGCACACTGTGTACCTGTCCCTTCAGGCACAGCACCAGGAGCGTGTGTGTCGGCGCTGTGCCTGGTGTGAAGGGCATCAGCCGTTGCACACACGCTTCCTGAATCTTGCTGGGTCTCTTCACCCACGGTGCTTCCGAAGGAGGTCTGATGGCCCAGCCAGCGTTCGTGTGTGGTTTAGGCAGTTTCACTTTAGGAAGGAAAAAATCCTAAAGGTAGTTGATATCTCCGAGAGTTCAGCTGCAAGTCTCCTCCTTGCTCTGGGGAATAAGGCACGTGCTGCACTACGTGGCATAACCCCCCCGAGCGGCTCTGGGAGCCGGGGAGCGTGTGGCACTGCAGAACACCCGGGGACTGTGCTGGCTGCTGCCCAAGAGCTCACGGGGCTCCTGTGGCGCCGCTGATGGAACGAGGAAGCCAACACGCGCGGTCTGCACCAGGGGGGCTGCGTGTCGCAGCTGCTGGCCAGGTGGCCGGGCTGGCTCAGCAGGGACCCTGCGGGGGTCAGCAGAAACAGGCAGAGAAATCCTTTTTGGGTACCTGTTAGCAGAAGTTTTTCCAAATGAATCCCATGTTTCCCAATCACACACTTCTAGGGAGAGTAGTATAATACTAATTAGACAACCAGGCCCGCATCTTTAGCAGTTGAACAGCTCCTGTGTCAAGCACCTCTCAATAATTTATCATTTATCATTATCACTCCTAAATTTTATTTGCTGTCCTGTCGTGTCTGCACTGAGCCTGTCTGTCCCAGCGCCGGGAGTTCCTGAAGGGATTCCAGATGATCTGATTTACCCAGGTACCTTTCAGGACTCTTCATTAAATTAACTCTTCAATGGCTTGCGGGGACAACAGTAGCAACAGCCCTTCCTCTCCTTTCTCATCCATCTCGGTGGCTGTTGAAGTCCTGACTCCTGCTCCGGCGCGGGGAGGCAGCTAAGGGGAACACGAGAGCCGTGCTTGGAGCAGTCAGGGAGGGGTAAACCTTCAGGGGACTTGCTAGCGGAATGTCTCCAAATGCTGCCACTTGCTTCTGTGCCAAAAAATTCCCATTTGCTGGCTTTAGATTTCCTTTTTTTTTTTTTTTTCAGTGGGACTCCCTTGCCCGAGCAGCCCGTCTCTAGGTCATAGTACCCTGAGAAAAGCTGTTCAGCTTGCAGGGTTTGGATTGGAGTTTTGTGTCACACATTCCTGGGCCCTGGGCTGCCTTTAGAGATAAGATCTCATGCTTCTGCAGCAGAGAAGGGGGTTCTGGGGAGGGGACCTTCCCTTTTGCAACGACTAGACTCCAACATGACCTTGTTTCTTAAACTGCAGAGCTGTGGCTTCTCTGAGCCTTTCGCTGAGCATTTGTGCAACAGAAAAATGGGTGGGTGTAGCTGCAGTGCTGCTGAGTGCTTTCCTCATCCTTCCAAAAGCTACTTCGAAGCGACTGATAGCAAAGGATCAGCGTAGCGAGGGAAGAGGCAGTGTCCTTTTGCTCCAGACCCTTGCTGTGCACAGCGTACAGTGAGCTGGTTTAGTTAGATTTCAGGCCTTGGTACACGGTGTTAGTAGGAAGCTCGCTGCAGCAAGTAGCTCAGTGATTAACAGCAAGATTGGGGCTTTTCACCAAGATCTGCCTTTCCGACACGAAACTGAAACCCGCTGCCACGCGGAGGCGGGCCGAGAGCTCCCCATGCTGCACCAGCAATCGTGACATCCTGTCTAGACCCGACGGGTGATGCCGTCTTCTGTGAGGCACAAAAGGCTTTGGGAGGATCTGAGCGGGGCAGAAATAAAGCTTTCCTGTGTTGAAGTTAATTGTGCACTGAACTGGCCAGGGAGCTGGAGCTACACAGCAGCTCTGGGAGGTGACTGTTGGTCATCTGGTGGCTTTCTAGTCTATGAGCAGAAAACGCAGCTATTTGCACCTGGAGAGTTAATGAGTGCCAGAGAGCCAGAGGATTAAGTGCTGAGTACAGTTTCCAAAGGTACCTTGTGTCTGTCCAAATGTAATGGTGTGTGGTGAGTGGGTACAAAATGGCCTAGGGGGAAAAAAAAAACCACAATAATTTGGGGTTTTATATTTCCTTTTGAGCTTCCCCTTTCCTCTTGGATGGGGAGGGATGTATTTTGCTTTCTTATAGAGATGCATCCTTAGATATGCTGGTGGGAGACAGGGATTTGGCTCCCGCTGCACTGGCTGCGGTCCAGCGTGAGTGATATTTGTTATCTGGGACGTCAGTAAAATAGCAGTGAAGAGAGATGCCGCTGACTCAGTTGTACTGTGGCTTATTAACCAAGTTCTGACTCAGCCTGAGAAACGGAGGTTTTTTAGATTAACCCCCACTGGACAAGGCAAGGCTGAGCCGAAGATGACGCATTTTTTTCTGACAGCGTTGAGGTGAACCTTGCAGAGTGGGTGCTTGAGTTCTCCTCGGGTACGGGGGAGTGGTGCAGAGACACCGACGTGGATTTAACGTTCCCAGGTGTGGAGAGGAGAGCAGGGAGAGGGTTTTGCCTGTGTTTTTCTGCCCCAGCCGCTACACATAAGCTCAGTCTTGCAGACTGAGTTTGATCTAGGTAGAGAAGCCTGGTTTTGAAGAGCTGCCTCATGGGAATAGACGTGCCAAACAGATGATTAGCGGGCAGAGTGGTGGTGCGATCCCTCTCCTGCCAGCCTTTTGCTGTGTGCCTTCTGTCCTCTGAAGATGATTTCTCCCTCTGCCTTTGCTTTGCCAAGTGCTCGTAGCAGTGACTGGCTGCATGCTGTGAGCACCGCTGCCTTGGGAACTCGCTGCTCCCACACAGCCAGTGCTGAGTAACTGGGCTCCTACTGCTCTTAAGGTAGGAGTAATTTTTGGTTTGTGATGCCAAGGCTGCTGGGCTCTATGGGCGATGAAGAGTCTGTGAAAGGGGACTAAGAAAAGCACGTTTCTTCTCACCAGGCTAAAACAGACTGTGTGGGGTCTGCATTGCCGTGGGAGATCTCTCAGGAGCTCACAGCTTGAAAGAGGTTGATAATTGCAGATCTCGCTTAATAGAAAAAGGAAAATGTATCCCACGCCTCCTGCTCTCACTGACAGTGTCCTGGGCCGAGGCAGTGCCAACACCTTCCACCCGTTAAGGGCAAAGCAAAGGGCCAGGAGGTTCCACAGCCCCGAGTAAGGAGCCAGAGCTGGGCTCCTGGTCCTCCTGGAGTGCCTGAGGAGAGAGGGGCTTTGTCAGGGCGTGACCCAGGGCAGGGACCTGCCTGTTCCTGCTGCCCTTTCCCCGGCTGCTCCGGCCGCTTTGGTTGCCCACTCTGGGTTTCACACGCTGGTTCTTTGCAGCTGGTGGTTGCTGGTGCCGAGGTAGGAGCCCTGGCGTGGCTCAGGCTTGTTCCTGCAGTGGTCTGGAGCTCAGGCAAAGGATTTCCTCTCCATACCCTTAAGATCTCGGTGTGGCAGCAGGCCTGGGATGGGGTTTGACCTTTAAAGAGCATCAGTTTCTCCACTTGACTGCAGAGCCCCTGGGAGCTGCTGCCCCGAGCACATGCTGCGCTGTGAGCCCTGCCAGGTCTCCTGCCTCCATGGGCAGGGTCTGGCCACGCTCCTCCCTCAGAGCCAGTCATTTCCCCTCCATCAGCCACCCCCGGGGCCAGGCCCATGTTCTGCCTTCGCTTGTCAAACCTCCATCCAGCTCTGATCTGCACCCGCCGTGTGCTCTTTGACATACGAGGCAACTTCTTCCTCATCCTGGGCGAGGGAGCTTCTGCTTCCCCGCCACATGCCACGGAAGGACACGGTGGAATCTGCCGTCATGCTTCCAGGCAATCCTGAAGATGCTGAGGTGCACAGGTCAACCCAAGAAGGAGCTCTCCTTCAGAGGAGGGCGGTCCGCAGGGAGGTAAGATCAGTGTCCCAAGGGTGGTTGGTGCTTCCTCACACGCGGAGACGCGGTTCACACGTGCACACTAACCCTGGCGAGTGCGCACACCCACGCGGAGCCTTCCCGGCTCGAGCAGCCGCAGGCTGTGGGGGTGTTTCGAAGCGTTTATGACTCAAGCTTGAGAACACATTGTTAAAGCAAGGCTCTGCATTTTGTTGTTGTTGCTGACTTTCAAGTGAAATGGGCAGAGACGTGCAGAGCGCTGTCCTACCTGCTGGGAGCATAAAGGGAACAAAAGCTGCCACAAAACCTTACAGGCGAAAGAAATGCTTTTGTTATTTTAGAAACCAAACTGCTGTGGAATCAAGACTTTGTGTGAGTAAATGCTCCTCGGCGGTGGTACAAGCCTAATGCTTCAGCTATCCCTGCGGGACAAGGTTGGGCTGCAATTTGAAATTGCAATTTGAAATACAAGGGCCCTGATTCTCGCTGTGTGATGTGAAAGCCAGAAAGTAAACGGGGACCAAAAGCTGAGAGGCACGACCTGGGGTTACCAGGTGGGGGGAAAGTGGGCACTCTGCTGCCTCGGGTGTGCAGGAGGGAGCTGGGCCCTCCAGCCTGGAGAGCACAGGGGCCGTGGAGGAGTTACTGCTGAGGGCTGCACGAGGGAAACGCGCTCGGTGCCTCCTGGAATGGTGCTATGGGGGATTGTGGCTGCGCTTTCGGAAGCTGCTCCCTAGTACCATTGCGGGGAAGGTCTGCCCTCCCTCGAGGGTGGCACAACCAGCCATCACCAGCCCGAACCCGCGGGGGAAACGGCAGGTTGCCCCCTCGTCCCACAAGAGATGAGGACGTGGGGGTTTGGAGCAATCCCTGACTTGATTTCCCCGTTACCCAGCGGTCTGTGACCCCGCAGCCCGTCCCGCAGCCGTGCTGCCTCCCTGCCAAGCGTTCATCCCTCCTCGCTCTCGGTGATTCTGCAGAGCTCACGCTGGAGGAGCTCACGGCCTTTCCCAGCCATGTTACCCGGGACGACCATCTGCCCCCCCTGAGCGGGGCAGCCTCCTGCATCTCTCCACAGCTCTGTAGTTTTTGGGTGCAGGACAGCGACCCGTGAGCTGCGCCGGAGCTTCTCAGTGATCAGGGAAACCCGAAACGTGGAGTAGATCAGGAACCCGAGATGCTGACAAGTGCCTTAGCCCTGAGCATCCTCCGAGGCGGCCTGTGCTGAGCTCCCTCCTAGGAGAGCCGAGCTGTGGGCAAGGCCACGCGCTGCTTCAGCGGAGCGCAAAGCCGAGCCTAGATGGGCCGTCGGCTTTCTACGTGGTCTCGCCCTGTGTTCTGCAGTACGCTCCCGGTCTCATGTGGTGCAGAGGTGGATCGTGCTAGGCAGCAAGTTCATTTCGGGGCTGGAAGACAGTGCTGTAGGTTGCCTCTGGGAACTTGCCAGATACTTGAGGCTTGGTACGGTATTTACTTAAGCTAACCACATCCAAATAAAATAGAGGCTTTGCCATCAGCCTTTTCCTGCGTGCTGAAACATTCCTTGTGTTTCCCCTGTTGATCTATAGAAATCCCCTGGGCTCCGGCCTTTGCAGTCTCTCTCCTCGGGTTGCCTCGTTAGTCACTTTAAGCCTGATGCAATTTGTACTTTTCAATATTAAAGAACTTGAACCACTGGATTGTGGCTCAATAGAATAGCAAAGGACAATGTTAGAGCAGCTCAGCAGACAGTGCCTGGCATTAGATATGGATCTCATTTGTTAGTGGCCTGTGAGCTCATGCAGACATGCCCCTGAGGAGAATCGAGGTGAAACACCAGGGATGTGGCCCTGGTGACAAGCCAAGCCTAAGTCAAGGCAATGAGACAGATGCCCACTGTGGGGCTGTGGCTGGTGGGGGAGTGGATGGGCTGGAGCAAGGAGAGCGGCTCTCGGCATGTGTAGCCCCTTGAAACGGCCGCCCGAGGCACCCTGAGGCCTTGGGGAGAGTTTGAAACGCTGCTGAGCGGGACCTGGGAGCCAGGCTGGTGCCCCAGGGCAGGTCGCCTGTAGGAAACGCTGCGCCCTGAGCCGCCGAGATGAGCAGCAGATGGGGAAGCATCCTAGAGCACCCCGACCGCCACGACCACCTTGCTTGGGGGTGTCCGATGGAGTGCTGTCCAGCCAAAGGACAGGGATGTGTGTTGGGGGGAGTTCGGGGTTTCAAAGGGCCTCGGAGAACCGCACAGCTGGAGGCTGGCTGTGGGCCAGGGGTGCGCATCGCTTCAGGCTTGTTCCCTGGTGTCCGCAGGAGAAGTCAGGACTGCCGCTCTGCAGGAAGCTTTGCTATGCTGTCGGGGGCATTCCCTACCAGATGACAGGCAACGCCCTCGGGTTCTTCCTCCAAATCTTCCTGCTGGATGTTGTGCAGGTGAGTGGCCACGTGAGCTGCGGTTATCTGCAAAGGGGCTTAGCGTAAGCTCCGCAGACTGGGGCAAGGGTAGAGTTTGGGTGGCCAAAGCCCTTGGAAATGCCTGTTGGAATTGGAATTCAAGCTGGATCAAAATCGTGTGATGTAAATATTGTTGGTGGGCTCACAGGAGGCGTTTCTGGGCCATTTCAATGCTCGGAGTGGTCTCCAAGGGATGCAGACGAAATGCTGGCTAGAGTGAGCTGCATCGTGCCGACTGCTCGCAGCTTTTCACCAGTTCTCCCCTTTCCCTTTCGAGCTGTGGTTTCCATTTCCCCCCAGCTGGAGCCAGTTCATGCCTCTTTGATAATTTTCCTTGGAAGAGCCTGGGATGCGGTGACTGACCCTGCTATTGGCTTCCTGGTCAGCAAGAGCCCGAGGAGAAAATATGGGAAGCTGGTGCCATGGTGAGTGTCCAGGCTGGAGCCTTGGGAGGGTCTTTGCTGCGCTCAGATTCCCTCAGTGCCAGCACAAGGAGGCAGCTGAGGTGCCTCACTGGGAGTTTGGGCTTACAGAGAATTACAAAACCTTAACATCACGAGGACACTAAAGATAACATAACTCATAGTGGGGTCCGCATGTTATTTGAGTGAAGGAGGAGGAATGTCCTGCAAATGGGTACGCTTGCTGTTTCTTTGGAGCCTCATGTTTTTTCAGGTGGTGGGTTTGGTGCTCCAAGAGTCCCGTGTGGTGGCACGTACAGAGCTCGGTACAGTCAGCTGTGCCAGGAGCTCACCAGCTCTAACCACGGGCACAGCTTGCGTGTAGGAGGGATCCTGCTGCCCCCAAGGTTCTGCTGCAGGGCAGGGACTTGAAGTAAAGACACTAAGAAATGTTGGACAACTCAGACATTAGTTTTTCTCTCAGTGCTTATGTTTAGCCCCTCTACCGCCAAGCCTGATCGATGGATACTCACTTGAGCAAAGCTGCTTCCTCTTACAGATCTTGATCTTGTAGTGGCCGGCTGTGGTTCAGAAGCTGGGGGTGGGGGCTGTGCTGTGTAGCCCAGCTTGTGCAACGCCAAGTGTGGCCGCCTTATCTGAGAGTGGCATCTGAGCGGCTCCGCTTCCTCCCCAGGATCGCGTGCTCCATGCCATTCGGGGTGCTCTGCTACTGCCTGATGTGGTTCACCCTCTCGGATGCCACCCCCGCCTCCCTGAAATTCCTGTGGTACCTGTTCATGTACAGCTTCTTCCAGACTTGCATGACTGTAAGGAACGTGGTGCCTGGGGCTGACTCTCTTACACACCGTCCTGACAGGGACGGGGTCAGCGGGGGAGTCGCAGCCCCTCCAGTAAGGGACCTGGAGCTGGGGAGCAGGGAGGGACGCAGCGGGGCACAGACGGTGCTTTTTAATGCCAGGGGTTCACCCAGGCTGCCTGTCTTGTGGTGATGTGAACTTCTCCATCGCTGGTTAGTGGGAGCAAGAACAAATCACAGCAGAGGGTGAAAAGCCACCTGCGTGCCGGGGTGACATGGAGGCAGCATCATCTGCTGTGTGTAGGGTCTGGGGGGGCACGACCCGCAAAGCAGGGGAGCAGCACCCCGAGCTGTGGTTGAACTGTGCTCTCCCTAGTGCCACCACGTGCCGTACTCTTCCCTGACAATGTTCCTGGGAGGAACCCAGAGCGACCGTGATTCTGCCACTGCCTATAGTAAGTGTCTGTGCCCCTCCAGCGCCGGTCTGGCGGCATTTCTGGGAGAGCCCTCCCTGGAGGAGAGCTGAACGTGTTCCTCTGGCTTTGAACAGGCTGCAGAGTGGATGGGGCAAAGCAGGGATGTGAAATCAGCCATCTTCTGCAAAGAATTTACATGCAGAAATATTTTTTAGATCTGATTCTTAGATCTAGGAAAACCAGGACCCAGAAAAATCAGGGCGGGTAGAAGTAGGAGGTTTTTTCTGGGGCAGCTCTGGATGGTGGTGCCACCAATTCCGCTCCCAAAGCTGGTCTTTTACCTGGTGCAAGGGACATGTCCTGTCATCCAGGGAGTGGGACTGAGGTTTCTCTCCTGGTTCTCCTGGCAGGAATGGGGCTGGAAGTGCTCAGCACACTCCTTGGGTCAGGAATCCAGGGGCAGATTGTGGGGGGTTACCATGCCCGCATGCTGAATGGCTGTTACGTGTCCAACCAGAGCCGGCCCAACGCCAGCACCTACAGCCTCGCAGACTCTCTGGAGAACACGGTAAGGGCCGGCCCGGCTGCCCCCCACTCCTCCCGTGAGCTCTGGGCCCGGCGCTGCTGCCTGCACTGCCAGCTCTGTGCCGCACCCGCGGTGTCACTGTGACTGCCTCTTGTTTTCCAGCGTAGGGCCTATGTATTCGCATCCTTGGTCCTGGGTTCAATCTATTGCCTGTCCTGCCTGATTCTTGTCTTTGGAGTCAGGGAGCAGCCTGGTAAGGTCATTTCAGTGCAGTTTGGAGGGTGCCCAGTGGCAGCGGATGGTGAGGACGGGGTTGCAGAGGAAGGTGTGAGGCAGAGGGAGCTGAGCACCGCTGCGGGGGATGGCTGGCAGGGTGCAGGGCTCACAAATGCAACACAGGGATACGGAGACCCTCCTTGGTTTGTGCTGGCAGCCTCTTGCTCCCGCAGAGGAGAGAGGAGATGCTTCGGAGGAAGGAAATCTCCAGCTGTCCCGGAGCTCCTGGGACAGTCCCACCGAGCAGGTCTCGCCAACGCACAGCCTGTGGAGCAACATGGGCCAGCCCGAGCACGTGGTGTAGACTCAAAATCCTGCCTGTAGATGACACGGTGGCTGTTGACTCTGCCCTGACACTTTGGGCTCCACTAGCCCCTCACCCAGCTGAGCTGCACCCCAGGCGTGGCGGCACAATCCCCCCCATGCCTCCCACCCCGTCGCGTTTGTTCTGGCAGCTCCAGCCCTGCTGTCTCTCCTCTCAGGGCCCCTCAGCCCCCTGGGGAAGGTTGAGCTGCCCTTTGCCAGCTGCCTGAGGATGATTGTGGGACACCAGCCCTACACCCAGCTGCTGTGTGGCTTCCTCTTTGCCTCCCTGGCCTTCCAGGTGTGAGACCTGCCACGGCAGGAGGAGAACTTGGGGGAGAAGATGTCCGGGCAAGTTATCTAGACAGTGATCTCGGGACCCCCGGCCATGAATGTCTCCGTGTTGCTTTTCCCAGATCACACAGGGGATCTTTGCCTTCTTCTGTACTCATGCTGCAGGGCTGGCTGGGAAGTTCCAACATTTAGTGCTTATCATGTTGGTGAGTGAGCCCCAGGCAGACTTTCCTGGTGGAGACGTTGATCCCTGGGTCACCCCAGCCCTTGAGCTCAGCCTCGTGGAGTCATGTGCTGCTGTTCCTGCCCAGTAGCAAGGACGTCACACGGGCAGAGACCAGCAGTCCTGGGGGGGCACTGCTGAGACTCCCCTTTGCTTCTTTCAGGTTACAGCTTCCCTCTCTATTCCCTTTTGGCAGTGGTTTTTGGGGAGATTTGGAAAGAAAACAGCGGCGTCGCTGGGCCTGGTGGTGAGTTTTCCTGTGGCTGTAGACTGAGACGCCCTGCGAGGGCACAGCCTTACCCCCAGCTGCTCGCAGTGTCTGGGGAGAAGCTGCTAGCCAGGCAGCTGAGGGTGACCCTGAGCACGGTGTCCTCTGCACTGCAGGTGACCAGGAGTTAAACCACTAGTTGAAGGCAGCTCTGCGCTTCCTTGCGTCTGGCCACAGCTGGTCTCGGTGGCCGTGGCTTCACAGAGCTTTGCAGCAAGGTGCAGGGAGGCTGAGGGACCGACCCAGGGACAGTGGGGAACTGACTCTGGGGTTTTTTAATATCACCCAACCAAGGCATGGCTGTGGATCTGGTGAGCAGCGTGTGATCAGATGCTGTACCAACACCTCAGTCTCATGTGCACATGCAATCGTCATCCTGGGGCCTCTGTCCTGCTCCAGGACCTTGCATGCTTGATGCAAGTGATCCCAGTTCTGCCATCCAGCTCTGTGAGAGGCGCAGGGAGGGGAGGAAGGGCTCTGCATCACGCTTGGCAGCGGCTGGGAAACAGCCCGCTCATCACACATCCCAGCCGCAGGTCATCAAGGAATTCCCATTTGGCTTTGTGCAGAATTAGGTGCTCAAATCCCATTGAGGATCTATCCCCAAGTGCCTTCCTCACAGACACTGGGTGCAGCCATAGCAGATCCAGCTTTCCAGTTTAACCACTCAGCTCCACTGTCCTCCGTAACCATCCCCCTTTACCCCTGAGGAAGGTTTTGCTGTGGGCATCAGCCTGCCCAGGGCCCCCACGCTGCACTGCGCAGGGGACAGGAGCCGTTCTCTTTATGAAATGTGTGAGGAAGGGGGAAGCGTGGCCTCTGGTTGCGCAGACGGATGCAAACTGCCTGTGAGCAGCAGAAAGCGCCCACGTGCTTTTGTTTCTCCTCTTCCTCTCGCCACTGCAGCTGATCATCCCAGCCCTGGTAGCCGTCACCCAGCTGAAGCACAACTTCCCAGCCTTCGCCTTCCTGGTGATCCTGGCAGGCTGCAGCATGGCTGTGCTCTACCTTCTACCATGGTGAGCTGAGGCACCTCTGAGCTGTTTGCCAGGCAGAGAGGAGGGGAAGGTTTTGGGGAAAGCCCCACCCGTGCCCGTTTACTCCATACAGCAGCTTTTGAGCTGCAGAGTGTGGAGGTGGGACTGGGAAGGGACGCAGATGGCACCCACTGCCCCCCAGCAGCATGGTTCCACCTGCACTCGCGTTCGGCAGCAGGACGCCGGGCGTTGCACGAGGTGCTGGTTTTCTTCTCTTTTTGTCTGAAGCAGCTGCTGCACCCTCCCCGTAAGACGCTCTCTGCCCTGTTTGCCTGAGGCAGAGGACAGGCACAAAATGGTCTCCAGAGTGGGCTTCTGCAAGGGCTTTCTGTCTCTCTGCTGCTCGGAGAGGCCTTGGAGCAGCTGCAGCCAAGTCCAGCTGGTGCTGGCGTGGGTGTCACCAACGTGTCCGTGGGGCTGTCTGTCCCCAGGTCCATGCTGCCAGATACTGTGGATGACTTCATGCTGAGGAACCCCGGCTGTCTCAACCTGGAGGCTCTTTTCTACTCGTTTTACGTCTTCTTCAACAAGTTTGCAGGTGGCCTTGCCGTGGGGATATCGACACTGAGTTTACAGTAAGCCCCAAACGCTACCCGCCCTGTTTTGTCAGCCCAGCACAGGCACTTTCCCTGCTGTTTGATAGGAGATGCTGGGATGAGTCACAGGGGAATCCAAATTTGTTTTTCCAACATCTACTGGGGGCAAGAGGAGCAGAAAGAAGTGGGAATTCCCCAAAACTGGGCCTCCAACACCAGACTCGAGAGGAGAGTGACAGCGGTGTCTGTTTGCCTTTCTGCGGCGGCCTGGTGGGACTGGGGGAAGGAAAACTGTTCTCTTCAGTTTTGCAGGTTATCGTGCTGGGGACTGCACATACAACCCCTCCGTCATCCTCACCCTGAAGCTTCTCATGGCCCCAGTCCCAATAAGCCTGCTGCTCGTTGCCATAATCATCTTCTGCCTCCATCCCATCAATGAGGAGAGGAGGAAGCAGATGAGAATGGAGATGGAAGCAATGGGGTAAATTGAAGCTCCACGAAGGAGCTGGGTCACCTAGTCTGGGTGTCTGCCTTGGTCCTAGCCCAGCACAGAAATGTTGTACAGGGGAGGGACTGTGTGTGCCCGGTCTGGCGCCCCGTGGCTGGGCTACAGTCCTCTCTCGGGGTGTGTTTCCCGAAGGGCTTCGGGGTATTTTGGTGTGACTGACTTCACACCAGATTTCACGAGCGCTCGCGTTCAACAGGCAGCAGGTACGACGTGGCAGCCGAGAATAAACCCTGGGCTGAAGCGGGTGAGTTCATCGGGAAGGATGCGGATTTGCTGCGCTGTCAGGATGTGCTGCTGCTGGGGAAAGTCGTGGCTTCCTGTTGCTTCCTGTTCCCGTGTCCCAAAGGCCCATTTTGCATCCTGACTCCCTCCCTCTCCCAGCTGGCAGGCACGGGACAGGGAGGGGGGGGTCCCGCTGCAGCCCCAGCCCTGCCACCTCACCAGAGCTGCTTTCTCCAGGGCTTGGCCTCACTGATCTTTTGGCAGGTCCTGACAGATCTGGGCAAGACAGATGCATGTTCTCCTGCTGTGAGAGACTGCAGTGCTGGGGAGGAAGGGCCCCCGCCAGCCCCGGAGCAGTGCTCACACACGCTGGGGTGCCGAGGTGTCACTTAACCTTCTGGGAAAGCACCCACAAAAAGCACAGGGGTTGTTTTTGAGAGGAAACTCTTTTTCCTAAAAACCAGTTATTAGGGAAAATACCACTGAGATAGTGCGCGTCTTTGTGCTTAGACTGCCCTTTCACGGGGAAAGGTTTAGAATTTCTTTGAATGAGGGTGGCGTTCAAGCCAGCGGTGTTTTAAAGCCCGTGCAGCAACAATGACACCTGGCAGCAGGGTGGCAGAAGCCAGCTCTGTCCGTCTGCCTGGGCCTCCCCAGCTGAGTCACTGCTGGGAAACCAGGAGCTTCGCCGGTACCTGAGGCTGCGGGAATGGGCTGTGCTGCCTCCCGTCAGGCACCTGCGGGGGGGCTGGCAGCTTGTCCTGGTTTCTGCCAGGTCAGGAGGTTATGATGGAGTGTCAAGAAGAGCCAAGTTGCTTTTAAATCGTTGCCCAGAGCTCGATCTCCCACAGCAGCATCTTGCGCGAGCTGCTCGGCACCCCCACATCTCTCCTGGCAACAGTGAGGGGGCAGCGGGGGGAAGAGAGGAGAAGTCAGCCATGTCGTGGCGGGTAGCGCTGAGCTGTGTTCAGCCTTGTGCACAGGCAGAGAGCGAGGTTGGTTATTTTTAGGGCTAGAGCTGTATCTGACCGTTGGTTGACCTTGCAGCTCTCCAGTCTGGTGCACACTGGCAGGATCTGAGCAAATTACTCCCCGGTTGTGCGCTGCATTAATTTGAAGCCTTAAGTCTTGCGGTACAACTTTGCGATCAGTGGGGGAGACGGTGCTTTAGAGCTGCGTCAGGGCACCTGCAGGATCGTCACAGCAACCCCGATTCAGAGCGATTTCTCAGATGCACAAAGGGCCTCTTTTTTTTTTTTTTTAATTTTTTGGTTGTTTTGTTTTCTGGAGTGTGAAGGATGTTCCTTGGGATCGCCTGACTAAGCCTGTGGTCAGGTGTTGGGATGCGCTGCCCTCTGCCACCGCCTTGCTTTCAGCCTTGCTGCCCCTGCATTTACTACAAGCAAAAGCCTTTGAGCGCCGAGGAAATGCTCTGATTGTTGAGAATTTAAAGTCCTGCAGAAGGCATGAATTATTTCAAAGGCACACGCTCCTTGGGACAGAGGATGGGCTTGATCTGGAGCTCCCAAACTGCAGCACAGGCTGGGAACGGGCCACGGGCTGCTGCAGCGTTGGGACCAGACCCAGTGCAGAGCAGGGAGCTGCTGCTGGTGTGTGTGGTGCCTGCCAGCCCCGCCACTGCCCAGGGTGGTGCCACTGTATATCCAGTGTCCCATTTATTTTTTACAGTATTAAATCTGAATGGTCACACTTTTCCCTCTTGGTATTTCTTATTTTGTGAGTTCTGCCAGCAGAAAATCCGGCGGGCAGAGAGTGATTCAGGTGAAATCCACTTCTTTTCAAGCCTTTGTACTTTCTCCACAGTTTAGACACCAGAATCTGACCTGAATCCTTCCTGGGTCTTGACCAGCTGCACCCTGAGCAGTGAGGGGTGATCAAACCTGGCCGAGCTCCTCACTCCTGTTGAAGTACCGGTTGTTGCAGTGACCTCGCTTGGTGGTAAAATGAGCAGGTTATGCCAGGGAGTAAAAAAACAAACCAAAACAAAACGCCCCACCCGAGGTGAGAGCCACAGTGCTGGACTTGTGCGAGCGTGCCCGCGCCAGGGCTCTAGCGTGGGCACACACCGAGCAGTATTTTCCCCTTTCAGATCCTTGTTTATTGCTGGCCCAGCTCTTCACTGAGGTAGCATTAATCAGGAGGGATGAGAGCATGCCCCTTTTTTTCTCCTGTTATTTTTCATCTTGACTCTGGGCCTCGCACATCTGCCCTGCTGATGGGTGTGTTTGCAGAAAGTCAGGCACCTTCTGTGTGTTGCAGCTTCAATATAAAAAATAATGCTATGGCATCAAGCAAGGAAAAAAAAAAAAACACTCAACCTTGGCCTTTCAGTATTTAAAAGATGCATGGAAGGGATAGAAGCAATTAAAAGTTGCTTCATCCCGTTATCTGTTATTTTAAGCATCTCCTCCTCTTGTGTCCCATTTTAATGCACTTGCTGAGAATACTGGCTTTTTATTAGTCTCTTGGCTGTCCTTGGAACTTCTCTGTTCCCTTGTGGACACTCAAGTTCATCTCCTTGATGTAAGGAAATAGGACGCTTTGAGGCAAAAATCCTGCGCCTGGAGCGATTCTTTTTTTTTGACCAAAAAAAAGAGAATGGTTGCTGTTGTTCCCAGAAGAAAGTCCTTCTGAGCGTTCCATTGTTCAAACCTGCCCCAGTAATGGGGGGCTGGTGCCAACTCCCACCAGCACGGTGAGGAGCAGCATTAATATAGATCTATAAAAGAGAATTTTGTCTGCTGGCGTCGCACGTGCCCGATGCTCTCGATTTAAGTTCAGCCTAGGCTTGGGAACTGTGGAAATAATTGTCTGGGGCGTGGGGCTGGCAGGTCGGGCTTCCCGGGGAGCCCCGCTTGGGCCGCCTCGGCCTCCCCACGCC